ATCTTCTATCCTCTCCACCACCCTTCTTACACAGTACCCTACACAGTAGCCACCACCCAACACAGTACCCTACACAGTAGCCACCACCCAACACAGTACCCAACACAGTAGCCACCACCCAGCACAGTAACCACCACCCTACACAGTAGCCACCACCCAACACAGTAGCCACCACCCTACACAGTAGCCACCACCCAACACAGTAGCCACCACCCAACACAGTACCCTACACAGTAGCCACCACCCAACACAGTAGCCACCACCCAGCACAGTAGCCACCACACAGTAGCCACCACCCAACACAGTACCCTACACAGTAGCCACCACCCAACACAGTACCCTACACAGTAGCCACCACCCAACACAGTACCCTACACAGTAGCCACCACCCAACACAGTACCCTACACAGTAGCCACCACCCAACACAGTACCCTACACAGTAGCCACCACCCACACAGTACCCTACACAGTAGCCACCACCCAACACAGTACCCTACACAGTAGCCACCACCCAACACAGTACCCTACACAGTAGCCACCACCCAACACAGTACCCTACACAGTAGCCACCACCCAGCACCGTACCCTACACAGTAGCCACCACCCAACACCGTACCCTACACAGTAGCCACCACCCAGCACCCTACACAGTAGCCACCACCCAGCACCGTACCCTACACAGTAGCCACCACCCAGCACCCTACACAGTAGCCACCACCCAGCACCCTACACAGTAGCCACCACCCAGCACCCTACACAGTAGCCACCACCCAGCACCCTACACAGTAGCCACCACCCAGCACCGTACCCTACACAGTAGCCACCACCCAGCACAGTACCCTACACAGTAGCCACCACCCAACACAGTACCCTACACAGTAGCCACCACCCAACACAGTACCCTACACAGTAGCCACCACCCAACACAGTACCCTACACACCCAACACAGTACCCCACCCAACACAGTACCCTACACAGTAGCCACCACCCAACACAGTACCCTACACAGTAGCCACCACCCAACACAGTACCCTACACAGTAGCCACCACACAGTACCCTACACAGTAGCCACCACCCAACACAGTACCCTACACAGTAGCCACCACCCAACACAGTACCCTACACAGTAGCCACCACCCTACACAGTAGCCACCACCCAACACAGTACCCTACACAGTAGCCACCACCCAACACAGTACCCTACACAGTAGCCACCACCCAGCACAGTAGCCACCACCCAACACAGTACCCTACACAGTAGCCACCACCCAACACAGTACCCTACACAGTAGCCACCACCCAACACAGTACCCTACACAGTAGCCACCACCCAACACAGTACCCTACACAGTAGCCACCACCCAACACAGTACCCTACACAGTAGCCACCACCCAACACAGTACCCTACACAGTAGCCACCACCCTACACAGTAGCCACCACCCAACACAGTACCCTACACAGTAGCCACCACCCAACACAGTACCCTACACAGTAGCCACCACCCAACACAGTACCCTACACAGTAGCCACCACCCAACACAGTACCCTACACAGTAGCCTACACAGTACACCAACACAGTACCCTACACAGTAGCCACCACCCAACACAGTTCCCTACACAGTAGCCACCACCTAACACAGTACCCTACACAGTAGCCACCACCCAACACAGTACCCTACACAGTAGCCACCACCCAACACAGTACCCTACACAGTAGCCACCACCCAACACAGTACCCTACACAGTAGCCAC